TTCTTCATGAATAGATGGAACAGGTCATATATAAGGTTGATCAGGATGAGGAATCTGTTCTCTAAATCTTCATGGATGAAAGACCATAAATTTCAGGTCTACTTGAGTAATGTGTAGGGGTCATAGTATACATGTCACAAGGATGACAACAGTGGCGTGCACTGTTGTCACTTGTCTCCTAAAGGCAGCATTTTCCTATGAATGTTCAGTGCCCTACAGGCATAGCCATGAGCTCCAACCTTTCCTCTGGGGTCAAAAATAACAACGGAAAGATGATGAAGGAGGATATTGTATGTAGTCCTTTACACATTAAAGTTTCACAGAATGTTTCACAGGCAGCTACAGCCTCTTCATGCTTCCTTCATTTCCATGACTCTTGTAATTAAATCAAACAACCGTTTGCAACCAATAGGAGGCTGTTTATTTTTACAGGCTGTTTATTCCATCAGAATGTAAGGAAACATATATCAAATGTAGAACCTTGGACATGAAGGCTTTTTTTTAATTCCCTGTTGTCTTGTAGTAAGGCTCAGTGGTGCAACTTAACCCGAAGTGAAATAATGCACAGAAACACAGATCATACCATTTGAGTCGGAAGCACAATTTTGAAGTTATATAAGCATCCCAGTGCAGGTGTCATCAACTATTGGGCAGAAAAGGCTTCAAGGGGTGAAAATTAGAGGGAATTTAACTGATTGGTTGTTTTATGCAATGTTTTTGTTTGTTTGTTTTAAGCGCCGTCTTTGAGTGCTTTGTATGTATCAAATCATTCAACCAGCATGACAATCCAATGATATTGGTGTGATTACTCCTCCATTTAGCAGACTGGGGAAGGAGGCACAGAGAGGTCAAGGGACTTACGTCACACAGCTAGGAAATAATTTGATTCCACTATTAAATAAATTCCCTAGTCATAAGTCACTCACTTACCAATTTGAGAGTCATTTGGTGGATTGCAATAGAGGAGCCTAATTTAAATCTATGTATGCAATTTGCAATTATAAGAACAGAGGCTGAAGCAGTGCGATAGAAGTAGTAGGACTGGAGGTGACTGCCGCTCTGCTCTAAGGTAGAGGTGTGGGAACTTTCACAGAGACAACAGGTCTTTTCCTCCTTAAACTCCTTGCTTAAGTATGAAATCCGATGAGGGAGGGCATATAGTTCTGGATACATAATGAATTCTAAAGTATCTTGTGAAGAGAGAGTTCATAAAATTTGGAATCAGAAGACTAATTCTAGCCATGTGGCTTTAAGCCAATTACCCAGCCTGATCACATATTTCATTTAATAAATGGAAATAATAATAATAATAAAATTCCTTTCAAAGCTATTATAAGGATATGGTGAAAAGAATACATGAAATAATGTAATTGGTAAAGGTTATTTAGATATTGGTTAATTTCACAGTCACGGTAGTTTATAGTCAGTAAATATGTAATTGTGGGTAATAAATATACAATGGTTGGGTAAAGGTTATTCATGTGAGGGCTTACGATGATAAAATCCTCAAATGACTTGATGAGGTTTATAGATTTAAAACTAGACTATTTGAGTGACTAGAGACCATCCACAGAATTAGCCCAAGGAGATCCTTCAGGTGCAAGGACAAAGCTCTGAACTTGACTTTAGGTTTACTGGTGAAGGCAAGAGAAATGCAGTGGGTAGCTATGATTTGAAATTCAAAAAGCAAAATGCATTTGCTTCTCTTATTTGGATCTTTTAAATGGAGGTATCTTTCTGGGTTCCAAACTACCCGGATAAGAACCACTTTTCTACAAATCTTACGACTAGGTAGACGAATGCTATTTAAACTAGAAGCATATAATGAGTAAAAGAGACATTTTGTGATTAGCTTCCGATGGCGATAACCAAATTTGAAAGAAAAAACAGTAAAAATATGTTGCCTAAAGTACCTGAAAAGGTGAAAGGCCAGAAAAATGAAATATTTTTTTCCTGTACAACTGGATATGCTCAAGACAACTAAAGAAAAGAGACAAGTATCTAAATGGGATACTGGTAGCTATGAGTGCCTTTGAAGATTTGGAAGTTTTATTCTATTAGAGGACTGTACTTTGCATAGTTGGCTCCTTTTTTGTGTATATATATATATACTTCAATAAATACGTATATAGCCAGTTTACAATGTTGTGTCAATTTCTGATATATAGCATAATGCTTCAGTCATACATGAACATACATATATTCATTTTCATATACTTTTTACCATAAGTTACTACAAGATACTGAATATAGTTCCCTGTGCTATACAGTATGAATTTGTTGTTTATCTATTTTATATATAAAGCACAAATGAACTTATTTACAAAACAGAAATAGACTCACAGACATAGAAAACACACTTATGGTTACCGGAGGGAAGGGGATGGGAAGGGATACATTGGGAGTTCGAGATTTGTGTAGCTGGTTCTTACTCAACACCTGATCACACTTCTCTTCTTGCTCTCAGCAGGCCTGTAAGGTTTCTCTGCACTCAGTTAGTAATCACTGCTGAAAAAGATGTTTTTAAAGTCTAGGAATGTAAGAACACGGTAGAGTCCATCACTACAGTCAAGCATTTTACTTCATGGTCACTGAGAACTAAACTAAGACAATGAAGGAATTGGCTTTCATATGGCTAAGGAAATAGCAAGTATTCGCTGAATTAGCAAAATTAAGCTGACTCTGTGGAGTAGTGAG